CACCCGCCGCCGCACCGGAGAATTTTTCAACCGCCAATCGAGGTAAATTTTCTCTCCCTGGCTCGTTTTCGATGTTGAATCCACCTATGGCCAAACCGGAGCCAAACCACCAGCCAATCGGCCGGAAAACCCCGCCGAAGTCCGGCGGCGCCGCGGCGGCTTCCTTATGTTTTTGTCTCCGATGAGGCCCTTCCCGGCCTCTGTTCGATGCAAATTTTATACCACTGTGATCAACGTTCTTTTCTCTGCAGGTTGATCAGAGCCAAACATCAAAACGCGACTCACATTGGAGGAGCCGCCGCACCCGAGAGCACCACCACCGGTAAGTCTCAATTTTTCGTGATTTTTTGGCCCACCGAGGGCCTTAGGGTTGTTTTATCGCAGGGACCAATGCAAGTTTGGCCGAATTCGGCCGAAAACGGCCAACCCGAGGCGGATCGCTGCCGCCTGCGCCAGAATTCCGATATTGGCCGAAAAGGGGCCTTAGGTCTGATTTGAAATTTTTTGGGATACGTGCAGGTACCGGTAGTACGTTTTAGTTTTTCGGAGAAAAATTTAGGGAAATGCGTCTGCCCAACCAAATAAGAGGCCCAAACCAACCATCCAGGCCCCTCCTCAGGCTCCAGGGGCAGCACGTGGGAAGATCTGTCAGCACTGCAGCAGAGATCACGGGGATCGACCTTGTTACCGCCTCAACAACACTTGTTGCATATGTGGCAGTGCCCAGCATTATGCAAGAGAATGCCCGAGGAACCAGAATCAAGAAAGGCCTCCTATCCAGGGCAGAGCTTACAACCTTACCCAGCAGGATGCCGACGCTGACCCGGATGTGGTACAGGGTATGTATACTCTCTGTGACCATATTGCTCATGTTTTATTTGACACTGGTGCATCGCATTCCTTTGTTTCACATGTTTTTACTTCCAAAATTAATATATCACCTAATAAACTTGATTCATTGTTATGTGTGTCTACTACCGGAGGTGAAACACTACTAGGAAAAGTTATCTACAGGGCTTGTGCCGTTGAGATAGCAAATAGGAAACTGAGTGTAGACCTGATAGGGTTAGACACGGGAGATTTTGATATAATCTTAGGAATGGATTGGTTAGCGGCGTATCACGCCACCATAGATTGCTTTAACAAGAAAGTTGTATTTAATCCTCATAACGATGAGCCATTTATAAATTAATAAAATTATTTAGTACTTATTCCTTGATGACAAGTTTTCTTAACTTCTAGTGCCTTAATCTTGCTATTTTCTCTGACTAGGCAAGCCCAAGAAGGAAATTTGTATTCAAGAGATTCCGGTAGTCCGAGACTTCCCAGATGTGTTTCTGGACAAGCTATCCGGTTTGCCAGTGGACAGGGAAGTCGAGTTCACTATAGACCTACAGGCAGGTACCCAACCCATTTCGGTTACTCCTTACCGCATAAGCCGCATTGAGATGGAAGAGCTGAGGAAACAGATCACTGAATTGCAAGACAGTGGTTTTATTAGACACAGTGTGTCCCATTGGGGTGCCGGAGTCACTTTTGCAAGGAAGAGAGATGGAACGTTGAGACTGTGCATTGATTAAAGATGATTGAACAAGGTTACGATCAAGAACAAATATCCCTTTCCCCGGATTGATGACCTCTTCGACCAGTTGCAGGGTGCACAGGTCTTTTCTACAATAGACCTACGATCAGGTTACCATAAGGTGAAGATAAGAACAGAAGACATCCCCAAGACGGCCTTCCGAACCAGGTACGGACACTATGAGTTTCTGGTCATGCCATTTGGGCTAACCAATACCCCGACAATCTTTATGAATCTGATGAATAGGGTCTTCATAGAGTTCTTGGATCAATTTGTTATCGTATTCATTGATGACATCTTAGTCTACTCAAAAAGTAGAGAAGAACATGCTCACCATCTTGCCCAAGTTTTGCAGGTCCTTAGAAACAAGAAGTTATATGCAAAATTGAGTAAGTGTGGATTCTGGCTTGAGCAGACCGCCTTCCTAGGATACATCATATCGAAGGAAGGGGTATCAGTGAATCTCGAAAAGGTTGAAGTGGTACTTGGCTGGGAGAAGCTGACATCAGTTAAAGAAATCCGCAGCTTCGTGGGAATGGCAGGTTATTACCGCAGGTTCGTTGAAGGATTTTCCAGTCTAGCAGCTCCTCTAACCCGATTCACAAAGAAGAATGGCAAGTTTGAGTGGAATGAGGACTGCGAAAGAAGTTTTCAGAATTAAAGAAGCGGCTGACTACTGCACCCGTGCTGGCTTTACCGAGTGGATCGGGAGAATATACAGTTTATAGTGATGCCTACTATCTAGGCCTGGGTTGTGTTCTGATGCGGCATGAAAATGTTATAGCATATGGGTCCAGACAGTTAAAGAATCATGAGAAGAACTATCCCAGCCATGACTTAGAGCTTGCTGCAATCATATATGCCTTGAAAACCTGGCACCATTATTTGTACGGAGAGACATTTCAGATCTATACCGATCATAAGAGTTTGAAACACATATTCACTCAGAAGGATCTTAACATGCGTTAGAGAAGGTGGATGGAACTCCTTATGGACTATGATTGTGATATCTTATACCATCCGGGTAAGAGCAACGTGATAGCAGATGCTCTCAGCAGGAAAAGTGCAGGTATCTTAGCCCATTTGATGGTTTCAGAATGTAGGCCAATTGGGGCCACGCAACAGGTTCGACTTCAGGATCTGAAGAGAGTCACATGTTTGGGCCGCCTAACAGTCCAGCCCGAGTTAATCCAGAGAATAAGGGAAGCCCAGTCAGTCGACCCTGCCCTGGTAGCCCGCAAGAAAGATGCAGAACAGGGAGTGAGCTCAGAATTCTGAATCTCTGTCGATGGATTACTTCGTTTCCAAGACAGGCTATGTGTCTCAGATGACAGTGAGTTAAAAAGAGACATCATAACGGAGTCCCATAGCTCGAAGTTTGCCATGCATCCCAAGAAGCACCAAAATGTACCAAAGCATGCGACTCCAGTTTTGGTGGAATGGGATGAAGAGAGACATAGTCGACTTTGTATCTAAATGTTTGGTATGTCAGCAGGTCAAGGCAGAGCATCAGCGCCCAGGTGGGTTACTTCAGCCTCTACCGATCCCGGAGTGGAAGTGAGAACATATCACTATAGACTTCGTATCGGGGCTACCCAAGGCACGTTCAGGACATGATGTCATATGGGTAATTGTTGACCGACTCACCAAGTCTTCCCACTTCCTAGCCATC